TTCAGGTGCAGAGACATGCGCTGCTGCTAATTCAGCTAGCCGGTGATTTTCACCGCTCCCGTGAGCCAACATGGATGACCAACAGTTTCCACCTTTTAACCCTTTCAGAATAAACTAGAATGGAAGATTCTCTGTCCAGATGACACACCGAGTACCTTCCTACCTGTCTCTAATTACTGTTGCTGTAGTAAAGGGGTTGAACGAGTATAGAATTTTTAAACTCGACATTAACATAATAAAACCCGAGTAGAACTCGAGTATTTGATGACGTCATAGATCTCAAGATACAAAAATAAATAAAACCACAATAAAAGGTAATTATTTACAAAAAAAGACCAAAAAAACATTGGGAGCGTATATTATGCTCCTACCGTTTATCATACTGAAGTCACAGGAAAAACTAAACCATTAGTTATTATTATTAAACTGCAAACGTGAAGAAACATGCAGCACGTCAAAAACGAAACTTAAACCGAAACTGGTTCTGGTTCGGTGGATTGGACCCGGTGTTGCATCATATTCTGTGACCTGCAACAGTGCAACACCGCCCCCTACAGTCATACGGTGGTCACATAATATGACGTCACTACGGATACTCCATGTTAAATTTTTTATCTCGATAGATGTCCTAGCAATCAATGTGTAGATTACTCGAGTACTCTGGGGGCCGAGATGGTGTAGAGGCAGGGCAGCCGGCTTGGGACCCGAAAGTCCCAGGTTCGATCCCCAGTCACTGCACATCACGTGGCGTCTCTGGGCAGCACGTCTCATCCCCAAAATGTCCCCCGGGCGCTTTCAATAGCTGCCCACTGCACCACCTGGTGGTGGATGGGTTAAATGCAGAGACTAATTTCGCCATTGTATGGAAACATACAGTGCTGACATTGTGATGACATTATTATTATTATTATTATTATTAATGCCCTACTGTAGTAGTCCAGTCATCTGGAAGCTCTTTCTTACCACCCAGAGCCTTCAACAGCTCCTCTCTGAATTTATCACATTCTTCCTTCTTTATCTTCCACCATTTGGTCTTCTTCTCTGATTTGACTCTTTTTCACAACAGTCATTCTACACACAACCATCCGATGCTGTCTGGCCACGCTCTCCCCTGCCACAACCTTACAGTCTCCAATCTCCCTCAGGTTTCCACTTCTACACAGAATGTAGTCGACCTGCGTACTCCTTCCTCCACTCTTATAGGTCACTCTATGCTCCTCCCTCTTTTGGAAATAAGTGTTGACTACAGCCATTTCCATTCTCTTGGCAAAATCCACCACCATCTGTCCTTCCTGGTTTCTTTCCTTGACACCAAACCTACCCTTCACTTCCTCATCTCCTCTGTTTCCTTCACCAACATGTCCATTCAGGTCTGCTCCCATCACCACCCTCTCCTCCCTGGGAATACTCTCTATCACTTCATCCAGATCTTTACAAAATGTATCTTTCTCCTCCTCATCACATTCAACCTGTGGAGCATAACCACTGAAGATGTTTAGCATCAGACCTTCTACT